GTGAGTTCATCAAAAATGTGAAATCTAAAACAAGACAAATGGTGCTAATAGTCAAGTTAAAGAAAACAGTAATTATTAAAACGTAGTAGATCATGTCAGATGTGCGAGTGCAAATTGATACATCTTAAAACTTCAAGCAAATGGAACTGGGGAACCTAGTGAATAATGTTTGCCAATTACAGGGTATGAATATGCAGGTGCTATATTGATTGAAGATACATAATTTTGTTTTAATGTAGTTATTTCGTTAATACATTATAAATATTTTAAAGTAAGCAAATTTACTTTTATCGACTTTTGTTACTATGTTGAAGAATTTAATATAAAAATTTGCTCTCAAGACTTCACTCGTCCCACCGCGCGATCCTACTTGTACTCTCCAGCCAAATCTCTGTCTTAAGGTGTATTTGTTTTTATTCGTTGGCATCTTAAAATGACACCGACGAATGCAAAACTTTGCAGTACATCCATGTAATGAATTTAGTTGTAGTATTTCGTTTATTTTTGCCATCTGTTATTACTCTATTTGCCCTTATTGGTTTCAGAACTTGAAAATAATTAATATTAATGTTCCAATGACATAGAGGCAGTGACATTAAATATTCTGATATTTGTTTTGATTTTTCACTTCAAGGTAATTACAGTTAAATCTACTTAAGTGATAAATAGAAAAATTGCTATTGTTGTGCTTTATAGAATACCAAATCGCGCATGTGATGAAGGAAAACATCAAATATAGGAGGCCAAAGGGGACCTGGGCCTGGCGGTAGTCTTGGGTTTCAGGTCGGAGGATCACAAGTTCGAGATCCGATTCACCGAAGACCGCCTTTTATGTAGGGCTGGTGCTTGTCAATCCTCTCCAGCCCAAATTATTATTAAAAAAAAAACAATTTTAAAAAAAGAAATACTACGTGTTTAAAATTATTGATTCATTATTCATTTGTATCCAGATCATATTGCCATCTAGGAACGTGTAATAGCAATATGAGTGTAAGTGATGACATTTGTTGATTATTAAAATACGTATCACAGCATTGTTTCCCAATTTGGGACACACGCCCCACAAGGGGGCAATTCGAAAATGGAAAAATAATAATAATAAAGAAATCTGCTGGATATAATACGAGACTTGAGATTGAAACTAACTAAATTGGAACCTAACATAAAATCTCCGTGCAGCAAGCATCAAGCGTAAGGTTCTCACTAATTTAAATAATTAATAATAATTAAAATAATATAGAAAAAATCTTTCATTAAAATTATTTCGTATTTGAATTTCAGCTCTCCATTATATGTTTAGATAAATTACTTACTGTGTTTCTCAACACTCCGTAGTGAATTCTTCCTAAAAACTATCATTTAAGTTTTTTCAGCGAACAATTCAGTTTTTGAATACATAAAATTGTGCATATTTTACATAGGGGACATAAGAATTTTAGAAAGGCTTAGGTGGGGGCATAGCACAAAAATGGTTGGGAAACATTGTATTACAGTGATTTCAAATGAGAACATGTTATATCAGCCGCTGGTTTTCAAACGCCCTCACATTGGTGTGATGTGGAAATTTGAGGTGTGCGATGACGGCTTTGTTGTCGTCATCATTATCTGACAAAACTCAAAATTAGTATGAGTTCTGTCGCACAACAGCCTTCGTGTATTATGAAAACGGGGCATTAATGAATGAAATCAAATCAAGTATTAAAGAGTATTGTTAAATTACATTAGACAATTACTGATGTAAGAAACGACCAATTTTTCATTCCAATATACTATTTATCTATTTTATTTCATTCCTCCATTTTGGTCTGCTGGCAGAGGCTGGGCCTCGAGGTTGGCAAACCGATCAGTTCGATAAACGATTCCACCGAAGACCCTTAATTTATTTGGGCCTTGTACAGATAATGGACTAAGCTTTCGTATATGTGATGTGGAAGTTTGGAGAATGCGTTGCTGGTCATATGCCTCAGATAATCTATCTCCTCCACGGTTTAGAATTTCAAGGTCTCTTCAGTTACTTCAAAACGGGGCATTAACCTAATAAATTTAAATAAAACAATCGTTTCTAAATTTAGGTCACCGTTTGTCTACTCAAGTTTGTCCTTTATTGCTTCCTTTATCAGATGCGTGTTAATTCAGTCTCACATACTCTCACCTTCTTTCCTGGAAGTTTAGCAAGCAAAACCATCTGATATTGGCGACTAGGAAAATTTGTCTTTCCCGCTGCTATCATTTAGAACCACCATAAATAAAAACAGTAAAGCACCGTTTATACGTTTCTCATTTATACGTCATTTCATCACAGTCCCAATCCATTCGTATACATTGTAATGAAAGTACTTTGTTTATACGACGAAAAGCTTTGGTTATACGTCGTTCCCCCCTTTAATAAAATGTGAAAATTTCCTTTTTTCTAGTTTGTGAACTGTGATCAAGATACCATGATTTCGAAATTATTCATGATTGATGAATTGATAAAAGAAAAAATGTCTGGTGCTAATTTAAGCGGTGATGTTATTCCGCCTTTCTTTAAGGACGCAATGGACTCCATTAAAAACTTCATTATTTCTATTGGCAAACGAATAGTGAAAAAACATGCAATGAACTTAATTCGATTCATAATGATGTACTTAATACTCACAGACAATCAGCACGTCAGACGACGGTTTTAGATTTTCTTGATTAACCGCCTACCTGCATGCACATAAATCGTATAAAACAAACAGTGTATAATTAGTACTCGAGATATGCAGTGAAGATGCGATTTTCTCACCTGTATGATAAAGTTTAATTTTAAAATGTAATTATTGATTCCTAAACTATGTAGTATTATGCTAGAAAACTATTAAACTATAATATTGATACGTTTAAATGAATTTGCCTCAATAGCATTAAATTTTCAATAATCAAAATTGTTTGTTAAGATTTCGATTATACGTCGTTTTACGTCAATCCCTTGAAAGACGTATAAATGGTGCTTTACTGTATTTGCTTTCTTTACAGTAAATTCAAAGAATTTTGGAAAAGCGAAAGCCAGTTTTGAAATTGGCGTTTTCGATATTGCAAATACCATTTAAGGAGCGCAAGCTTGATGAAATTGGCTAACCTGCTTTTACTGATCGGATTTTTGTTTCGCGTGCATACATTCCGCACCAGATTTATTGCCTCAGAGCAGCCAGACGCAGGCATCTGGTCAAGGTCGTGCCACCTGGTGTGTTACTAGAAGTATCCCGAGAGAAAATTAGCTCGTTTGCAACACAAATGCACCATGTTAATTTGTTGAGAAACTTTCTGGTTCATTGTCAGTCTTCTACTAGGTTAGGAAAGTAACTGGAACATCCCTGTAGCGTAGAACTGTTATGGTCGTCATGAGTGGATAGATTTTGGGAAAGATCGAGTAGGTTAGTTGAAACTTAGCCTATTCGAACAGTTGCGGAAATTTTTGTGTTGGAATATAAAAAAAGCTGTCATCAATATATTCTTATATTCCCGGTTTTGGCTATTTGTTCGGATTATCCTGTTTTTTATGTTTAAATAAGTATTCGTATTAAAGCGATTAACTAGGCTTAATTTCCTGAAGAATTCTCTTTGTCAGTTTTTGTTATATATAAAATATGGCCTCCCTAATTTAGTAAATAATGGCAATTCTACATCGAAATTTCTATTCATTATCTTATTATTATTTATCTTTGTGCGTAGACTCGTGATCGTTAGTGTCCATGGTAAAATGACAATTTGTCCGTGATTAGCCAAGCCATTATCGGTTTTCGACCATTTGACCCCATGCCACGTTGGCGTGGTGGTAAGGTAGGTTCCGGCTTCAGGACCGGAAGGTTCCAGGCCCGAAACATTAAATCTGATGTGGAAGGTCAAACGCCATGATGGTGTACCGGGGAAATTTGGAGGGAGGGGGGAGGTACCTTCTTAAGTGTCATCTGAGTCAAAATAACGAGGTCCGTCCCAAAATAGCCCTCGTTTTGATTTAAAACTGGTCCTCCCATATCAATATTTAGAGCGTTAATATATTCTGATGCAATTGCTGCATGAAGTGGATATTTTTTCAAAACATACCCACCCCCCCCCCCCCCCCCCCCAATTTAGGGATGTTATGAATATTCGGTATTCGGCTACTTTCCACGGCACTGCTTTTTTTCCAAAAGAAATAAATAAGAAAAAAAAAAAGAAAAAAAAAACCAGCGCGATATTTATCCCCCAGGTTACAGCGTTCCGGAACTGCTTATTTTGCGACTACACCACTGATTTAATAATGTTCCATATAATTTATCATTGTGAAGCGTAAAATTCTGACGCAAGAATAAAACTTTTTGAGCATTTTCAAGAAAAAGTATTCCATTTGGTTTCATACATGTTAGCAGTTTCAGAAAAGTAAATGCTTGCTATATACACTTGCTTGCAGGAGCTGAAAGATATTTTCTTGCTAAATTTGCAAGTCTTGGAAATTTTTCCGCATTTTTTCCCCACCAATTAAATGGACTCTCGGTCCTAATTATAAGAAATTCTTTATCAAAACGAATTACTTCTACTAATAATTTTAGTGTATTCACTGAACTTTCTTCTGTGTTTGTCACTATCAAGTTCAGCAGTGATGACTTTTTTTTCTGAGAAGCAATCCCAAATTAAAAAGGGTTTCTCTTTCCTTATTTTTGGGATTCAACTATTTAAAATATTACAAAAAAAACCCGCATCAAGGTGTTAATTTTTTTAATGTGCAAATTATCAAAAAATCAATTTTTTTACTCTTTAATTTTTTCAATTAAAATTTGAGAACTGTTTTGTTTAGAATCAAAAGGGAAATGCTTTTAAAATATAGATATTAGGCCAAATCACTATTTGTTGCATCCCTAAAAAGTCATGTTGATGTAGAATTTATTAGTTAGTACTGCATGTTTTGCGCCAGTGTAGTGATAAGGTCTTTTCCGCTTATGGCTATATTTCTGATGAACCTTCTGTAAATTTACGTCAATTCGATGAGTCATCTAAAGGCAGTGGTGGCCTAGTGGTAAGGTTTCGACTTTGGGGCTGGAGGGTTCCAGGTTCGAAACCTGATTCCACTGAAGATCCGTCGTGCATTGGTGCCTGTTGCACATTAAATCATACGTAGGGGGCAAACGTCCTCCCGTTGGTGTGGTGCGGAAGTTTGGAGAGGGGGTGCCAGCTCAGGTGTCGTCCTCGGCATCTGGCCAAGGTTCAAAATTACGAGGTCCGTTCCAAAATAGCTCACGTGTTGCTTCAAAACGTGACGTTAATATAACTAAACTAATGAGTTATCTAGCTACAGATGAAAATATCATTTAGGTAGCCATTTTTACTATGTTTATAATTATGAAAAATGATGCTTAGCTAAATCGAGGTTATTATTTCTTTTCCATGTATAGTGTTCTTTTGTTATCTGTCGGACTTGTCTCGGAAAAAAAAAAGTCTTCTTGCCAAAACATACTGCTCTTGTGGCATCCAGTTTAAATTGTGTACTGAGTTGTATTTTGAACAATATTCAAAATCCAACTTTGTCATGGAAAGTATTCGTTAATGACATTTTGGGTGGAGAATTTTGTATGTCTAGATAACAACTGAACTTTCAGTTCAGTTGTTAGAAGTGGTCTGAACTTTTAGTTCAGTTGTCTTCGTGTAGTGGTTAAAATATTTGAAGCAACTCACTTTGTAAGAACAGCGTTGCTTGAAGAAAAGAAACAAAAGGAGGAAAATAACCCTAAGAGGAAAAGACCAAATTTCGTTGTAGTTTTCCGATTTTTAATTGTACTTTTCACGGAAAGTCAGCTTACTTTAATAGACAGATTCAGAAGTTTTACAGCGTCTGTCCTTTACTAAAAAGAAGGAAAAATAAATAAATAAACAAATAATAAATACGTGAAAAATAAATAAAGTGAAGAAGTGGAACATTGCAGAATTTTATTATTAAACTTTGTGCGGTTGAAAAATATTTATAAACAATTCATTAACATTATAAATTTTACTGCTGCATTGCAGAATAAAACCATTTTTGTTTATTTTGTTGTTGCTAACTTGTGTTTTAAACTTTTTCGAAGTCAAATTCCAATGTTGCGATTTCAAAATTTATTTTTAAATTACTGTATTTGTGATCATCGGTTGCATTTTTGTCTGAAATAAAGGTGTAACTCTGTTACATTATCTCAAAGTTACAGCGAAAGATCAGTTTTTTTTAAACAATGTTTTTAATAAATCCAGTTGCCGTTGTCAGAAAATTAGCAATCATGCTGAATTCATTGTTGCACTTCGGCTTAAATACCTTTTTATGCAGTCGAAATTCTCTTGACGTGGGAAAAAAATTTTGATAATGACTTGCTCTTTAAAAACATACCAAAAAGTTGTGTATATGCTTATCTTCAATTGACCATATTCCCATCGAAGTAACACAACTAAAGACAATGCATTTTGAAGCTAGCATTTCCTGTGATATTATAATGTATAATAAGGCATTCTTTAACTTTTGTTCCCTTATATTTTTTTCTTTATCAGAAGTTTATCTTCCGACTTCCCACGAAAGCTAAAGTTCCTTAATATGCTATTTATATGTTTTATTCAGTGGAAAAACATTTATTAAAGTTAAGTGCAAAATATTAGTGTCCCTTCAATTTTATCACGTAGTGGATATTCTCGTACTAGTTTGCGTTCACTTTTTTTTCTTTTAATTTCTGGATAAAAACCTATAATCCTGTAAAAACTTAGCCGTGTCTGAAATTTTCTTTCGACGGTCTGTGTTGAAGGTTCTTTGATTTATTGCACTGAAAACTTGTTTTCTTCTTACGAAAGAAAGAAATCCATCATGGGATTTTCCGATCAAGACTCAGAAGTTTCTTCAAAGGATTATAGCAGAGATCCGCGAGTTTAGGTTTAACTTTTGTCTAGCTATTTAATTTTTCGGCAGAAAAAAGATGCCTTGTAAGAGATAAGAAGTGTGAAAATTTGCCCATAAATCAGTATAAAGTTTATATTGTGAAAATTATTTATCTGCTTGTGGCAACTTCATTCTACAAACAATTATTTCATTTATGTAAGTTCGTTAAGCTATGAATAACATCATTATGAATTTTTATTAATGTCGGGAATTATTCACCTGACGTCGCAGTCCCATGACATACGTAACTGCTTGGCGTGTGTCATCTAACATTCTAATGCCGTTGTTTTATGCTTGACTGTGACGCCACGTCCTTTTTCCTCCTGCAAGATGCGCAGAGGCTTACTGAATGAAATTGACGTGGCGCTTGGGACGTGTTGCACGTGAACAGGAATTTAATCCATAGAACTTCTCTTATCTTTCTGAAGCGAGATGTAAAATTTTGAATCTGGGCATTCAGGACAACATTGCACTACTCCATTTGGCCCTAAGAGCGTTTTTTCTCCAACCCATTCAAGGCGATAGATTAGACAGGTCATTCACGGAAGCTCCAAAGTTTGTTTTGAGAATCCTTGTTTGAGAAGATTTAAAGTCCCAGACCGACTGACCCTCCCCAATGCTCTCCACACACACGCGCGGGTGATTTATCGTCGCCTCGAAGAATCAAAGTTCACTTTTTAATGGCTTTCCATTCCTTATTCCATTTGGATATCAAATTCGTTTGAATTCCTTGACCGCAAATTATTTGCACCAATTTTCACCGGTTTCTTAAGCAGCCATTCACATGTAATCCAAAATGGAATTTTTGGAACACGGGAAGGAAAAAGCAGTCGTCAGTTTTAAAAACAGATTGAAATTGGCATAGCGGCTTGGGGAAGCTGGAATTGCAATCAACTCAAAATCCAACACTTCATGCGACGATTCCAATTTGGGGCCTCGAGGCGAGGATCAAAGTGTCTGCCTAGATTGGGATCTCGCGACGAGGCTAGAAAATCGGAAATCCACGGTGTGTGTGTGTGTGGGGGGGGGGGGGAGGGGCGGGAGCGAAGAGCTGCGGTAGGGAGGGAGTGATGTTATCGCACTTTGGAGCCTCAAGTGAATGATTTTTCGACTTGAAATTGGTGGGAAAAAAACAGTCTTGGGACAAATGGAATGGAGTACAGATGAATTGCCGGCTTTAAGCCGGTCATTTACTTGAAGTGTAGTCATGCCATTTATCGTAAGCCCGTTTTTTCCCCCACCCATTTTAATCGAAAAATACAGGCACGCCATTCACAAGGACAGCTGCTTGTCAATCGGTCTTCGATTTTCCCCAGTCAGCAGATTTTAATTTATGCAGATTTTATTTTAATTATTTTCCTTCTCGCGTTCCAAAATATACAGTTTGTCTGTGAAGTGAATGGCCGGCTTTACATTGACGAAATGTTTTTCCTTCCCGTGTTCCAAAAATCGTGGAGTGGAACAAAGGCGAATGTCCCGCTTTAGGGGCTTTTCAAGTCTGAAAATGAGTTAGCAGATAAAATGTCTCCTGATCGCTGCAGTGCATGAACTGATGAATATGATCAGCCCAATGATATTTGAAAATGATTAATTTTGAAGTCTGATTGTGCATTGCAGTGATGAGCAAGTAAGTGATTTTAAGTAAAAGTTAACTAGAGTTTAGATTCGACACGTGTTTATTCATTGATCCAATTGTTGATTTCAATTTTTTTTTCTTTTTCCAAATCTGTAGATAATGTCAACTGAGTTTGACAACGCGGGGGAAGTTTCGAAATGTATCATTAATAGTCCTGAATATGATTCTAGCGTGTTTATAAGTGATTCATCTAATTTTAAACACCAGTAATCTGTATAATGAAGCCCAGTTTTTAAATCAGAGGTTTGATTTCGTGGATCTCTTTCAGTATAATACAGAAGAGGCATAGGGATGCATATACCGGTGATTTTCGTTCGTAGTTTTCTACATACGTGCTACGTACGATCATCAGCTTGAGTTGACATTGACTGACTATAGCTAAGTGGTGTTCTTTCACTAATCGGAAAACCAGGTGAATTGACGCTTATTTTTTAAAAAATTCTTCAATTTTATCATTCCTCTGAACCCTTAAGAATGCGATATATAGATCTTTAAAAGGAAGCACTAAAATAACAAAAAAAGGGCAAAGTTTTTTGAAGTTAATTAAACTGATTAAAAATAAAGTTGAGAAGTTAAAAGTTCGTATAAAGTCCATTTTGATGAATGAGATGGTTTGAGTCATAGAACTTTTACGAAGTGGAATAATATAATTTTTACACGTTTTTATTTAGCTTCACTTGATTCATATTTGTAAAGATAAGATTTTGTAATCGATTTTTCATTCTCTTCCTGATGTTCCAGTGTTCTGAAATTCTCTACAGTTCTGTGTTCCCTATGAAAATACAATATTTTAATATTTTTAGACTTAACTTTATTTAGTTTTAATTCGCTACGTGAAAATTAACTACCAGATTGCATAATAATTATGATAATGAATTATAATATGCATTAAAAACTAAAAAGTCGAAAATAATAAAAATAAATTTTTAAGAAGCACGCTTGTAGTAATGTACTAAAATGTAGGAAATTTTTTTTTATCAAAATTTTTGAGGTCAAAACAGAAATTGTAAATACTTGAGACGTTGTAAATAGTACGATTAGGAAATTCAGCCACAAGGATTCTCAAAAGAAAAAAAAATTCTTTAAAATTTCACTTTACTTTCAAGGAGAGGGACCGACTTAGAAAATTCAGTTCGGGACGAGACTTGGTACATTAATAGGCGGTTTAGGGTGTTCGTCCATTAAAATGGTAAAGCACAATGGCCAGAAAGTTGGGAGAAAATGGCCCTCAAACTTTTGGCATAGCTTATATACCACTAAGTTGTCACCATTGCTGAAGTGCGAGTAGCATAGTCAGTTTAGTACTAACTTGCAAAACTTTTGCCCAGGGTTCGATCCCGCCTCAGTTGAAAATATTTTTTAAAATTAATATTTAAATAATTAAAAATTTATAAACATCTTTTCTTAAAATATTTATAATTTTTAAGCATTAAATATTTTTTTTATTCATATGATATATCAATTACTGTCTTAATTTAATTTTTAAACAGTTAAATAATCATAAAACAATTTTAATGATGTTAAATAATAAGTATAATTACAAATT